GCGCCCGGCCTAATTTTTTGTATTTTTGTAGAGATGGGGTTTCACCATGTTAGCCAGGCTGGTCTTGGGTGATCCACCTGCCTCAGCCTCCCAAAGTGCTGGGATTATAGGCGAGAGCCACCATGCCTGGCCAAGAAATTATTAGGACTGGGAACCCAAATTCTCCAGTGGCAACCCCCACAAAGGAAAGAAAGGGGAACTTTAGAGTTACAGATGCAACATGTGTTCATGCGATCTGCAGAGCTGCCCCTTGCCTAACTCCTTGGCAAAGAAATAAAGGAACAGTGGCTTGGAAAAAGCCCTGTCGAAACCTTAGTCTTGGAACTTGAGCTAACATTGTCTTCTCCTCCAAGGCATAGAATGACATGATCACAAAAGAAACCATTTGAAGGCATTTCACTTCTACTGGTGTGGCTTGCTCCATTCTTTTTTAAACCACTGTATCTGAAGGTGCCCTTAGAGAGCATCTAGTCCAGAAATGTGGCTGCCCTGAGGGCTGGGCTGAAGATGAGACTGAGTCCTGGCTCAGTGGAAAAGCACACGGTCATCGATTAGTGATGTCTGACATAGACACGGAACGGGTACTTCTTGACTGGCAGTCCTCTACTTCCTCACTTTACTATTTAGAAAACTGAGCTTTAGGAAGATTAAGTTATTCACTTAAAGTCCCAAGAAAATCACTGGGAGATGTGGGATTGTCACTCAGGTCACTTTACTCTGGTCTCCTGCACCAGACAGGATGCAATGATAAAATATAGTAACAATTTTAGATGTTATTCATTCATATGGTGTCCAGAGGGTCCCTGTTGCCTCCCCAAGCTTAAATGTATAATAGGGAACAGAGGAGGGAGTAATATAAACTCCCTGACACTGCCCATGTATTATTATTTACAAAGTAAGAGTTATATCCAAACATTTATTATTTATTTATTTATTTAGCAACTTTTCCCAAGAATAACCTAGGGTTTACTATCCAGGGTAGCTAGTGGATGCATATAAGTTGTGTGACATTGAATGTCAGGAGAAAGACAATTTTTTTTCCCCCAAAACAATGCCCAACTTAAAAAACACACAATAAAAATACACCAAGCTCAGGAAGTCCCCTGGCACACAGGTGAAGCAGGTCTGGGCATCAAAATGGCTGGGCAAAAGTGCGGCACGATGGCTCATGCCCATAATCCCAACACTTTGCGAGGCCAAAACAGGAGGATCACTTGAGTCCAGGAGCTTGAGACCAGCCTGGAGAAACGCCTTGAGATCAACATGGAGAAACGCCGTTTCTACTAAAAACACAAAATTAGCCTGGCATGGTGGCACATGCCTGTAATCCCAGCTACTCAGGAGGCTGAGGCAGGAGAATCGCTCGAACCCAGGAAGCTGAGGTTTTGGTGAGCCAAGATCGCACCATTGCATTCCAGACTGGGCAACAGGAGCAAGACTCCGTCTCAGAAAAAAAAAAAAAAAAATTGGAAATTAACTAGGTGTGGTGGCACACGCCTGTTGTCCCAGCACTTGCAGGACAAGGTGGAAGGATCGCCGCAGTGATCGCGCCACTGCACCTCCAGCCTGGGCAACAGAGCAAGAGCCTGGCTCGAAAAAAATAGCTGGGCATGGCAGTGGAGATAGGCTCCCCATGGGGCAGGAGACGGTCAGCCCGAAAGCAAGGTCATTCCAGCAGCATGACTTCATCTCTGGGTTCTTTTGACTTCCCAGGTCCTTGGGGTTCATCGAGCAGGAAACACTGCAGACGGCTGGGGAGGTGGGAATACTTGACCATCACCTTTAACATCCAGAGATGACCAACTGGGAACTGCACTTCTCCCCGCCCCTCCACCCCCCACCCCGCGCACACACCCCCTCCCAGCACAGTGATTACTCAGCCAAATGCCTGGAGGGTCAGCAGGTAACGCCCATGACTAAAGAAGGCGGGGCAAATATTACAGTAGGAAAACGTGGAACAAATTTGAGGTCATATGCCCTAGATAAGAGGATGACCACCGTCCAAATCCAATTGGGAAAGCAGGCCGCGTGTTGGCAGACCTTCGGATTTTTCCAGATAAACTGGAAATCTAGGTTATAAGAAATGTTATTGTTTTTAAATGGTTGGTTAAAAAAAAAAAAGCAAAATAAAATTGTATGAGTCTAACAATTAAGAACTTTTGGAACTTGCTGCTAGGAAGCTCCAGCGTAACTTATAACCCATCTGCAGAAATCTGCAAGAGACCAGTTGGGTGAAGCCGACCCGGGAACACAAAAAGTAGCGTAGCGCTCAGCCTGCATCCTGGCACACTTCACCGCCTCCTGGCTCCACCTCCTCTCCCTGCACCCCAGCCTCCTCCCAGCTTGTCACACTCCCAGCACACAGTAGGCATGCATTTGCTGGTGCAATAAATTCAAATATGTATATTTTTTCAGTCTTTTTACATTCTACATATTCTTGCAAGCACCCCACAATTCTTTTTTCGTAGCAAAGCAGACTACAGATGAAGCATTTCAGACCTTTTCTCAATCATGTCAAGTGTGAGGGGAAGTCTTTTGTAAGCCAGCCAAGTATTTCAAAATAAAAAGCTTTTCCAAAAGTAAAGCCGGAAGACCCCGCTTTGAAGGCGGTGGTCGGCACAGGAAGGCTTGCAAAGGTGTGTAGGGAAGTCCACCGGTTACAGGTGTAAGGCGAGTTCAACCTTGAGCAGAGGGAGGAGAATAAAGTGGGAGTCTCGAGTTTGAGCACCAGCTTATCAGGTATTAATAAAACCAGAACGCGAATTTACATCCGACCCTTTAAAAAAAAAAATCAATTTCCCGGCACACGTGCCTCTTTATTTTCCCCCGCACCTCGGCTCGGGTCCTCCGCAGCCTCGCCGGCTGCCCGCCCCAAGAGGCTGGAGGTATCTCGACCCGCACCGGGTGCCCGGGAAAATTCCTTCCTGCAAAGACGGCGGAGCTGCGAGCAGGAAGCCAAGACCCTTCTGGGGCGGCTTCGGGGCTGCGGCCACCACGGATCCGGGCGGAGTCCGAGGGAATTCGGTCCCTCTCTGTCCCCTCCCCACCGCTTACTGGGAAAACTCAACTTTTCCCTCCAGATCGCGGCCCCTTACCTACGGCGACCCAGCCGGCCAGGAGCGCCCCGAGGCAGACGAGGACGCGGGGCTCGGGCGCACGGCCGCCTGCGGCCATCTCGCCCCAGATCCCGGCTCGGGAAACGCAGGCTCCGGCTGGGCTGGATGTGTGCGCCCCAGGGCCCCGACGCCCGGGGGACCGCGGGCTCCTCCCAGGTCCTCGGAACGGCAGAGTGGCCCCACTTTGTCGGCCCCCAGGAAGGATGCTCGGCGGAGCAGGGTGTCTGCGGCCGGGAGCGGCGCTCGGCTGCAGGCGCGGGTCCCCGCTCCCGAGCGCCCTAGCCGGGGAGGGAGGACGCACCCCGCCCCCTGTGCCCGCCTGCCCACTCCCGCCAGCGGAAAACAACAGGAGCGAGCTCCCTCCCGCCTCCCAGCCAGGCGGGAGCCCAACTTCCTCTACCTTGGCCGGGGAGGAGGGCTCTCTGCCGAGGGCGCGCCGAGCCGGGTCCCGCCGGGCCAGGGGCGGAGCGCGGAGGCTGGGCCCTCCCCGAGTCCACTTCGTCCGGGACGGCAGCCGGAGTCGCGGGGACAGCGGGTGGGACGGGGCCCTGCAGCTGCCGCAGGACGCACCCCCCGCCACGGCCCCGGGCTGCCGAACCCGGAGGAGGTGGTTGCCAAGTGGCAGAACGCAGGACCCTCCTGGCAGTCCCCGCTGAGCGTCTCGAGGGATTCCCGTCCGTGTCCCTGGGCGCAGGGCGGGCGCCAAGGCCGCCATCGCTGCCTTTCCCTACCCTCTGCAGAAGTGAGCCGGAGAAAGATGATCCCCTGACCTTCAGCCAAAAGCGGCCACGAGACTCCGGTTCTCCGGTGAACTGGCGGGGACCACACAAAGAGAGTGAGCGCCAAAGAGTCCCCGGGACCTGTTTCTCAAGAGTTTTGTTCTTGCTTTTCCCGTTTTAGCTCTCCCACCAGCTACCGAGTCAGATTCCCAGGCTAAGTTCCTTTCTTCCCGGCCATGCCTTCGTCCCATTCGGTCCTGGGGAAAATGCGGCTTTGATATCCTCAGGAAGAGCCATCCATAAAAAAGCCCTAGGATAAACTTCCCTGTTTAAAATCATCATAATAATAATAAACCGGGCACGGTGGCTCACGCTTGTAATCCCAGCACTTTGGGAGGCCGAGGCGGGCAGATCACCTGAGGTCCGGAGTTCGAGGCCAGCCTGGCCAACATGGTGAAACCACATCTCTAGTAAAAATACAAAAAATTAGCCGGGCCTGGTGGCGGGCGCCTGTAGTCCCAGCTACTTGGAAGGCTGAGGCAGGAGAATCGCTTGAACCCGGGAGGCGGAGGTTGCAGTGAGCCGAGATCATGCCACTGTGCTCCAGCCTAGGTGACAGAGCAAGACTCCATCTCAAAAATAATAATAATAAAACAAACTGCAGTTAGCATAGTAAAATGTTAATTGTAGGCTTTAGGGGGCTCTGGAAATATGTGTGTTCACATTTTTCCAACTGTTCTGTATGTTTGAAAATGTTCATAAAACGTTGGAAGAAGAAACAAAAAAATGCTATTAACATCATTGCTCTGGCCAGGCGCGTTGGCTCACTCCTGTAATCCCAACACTTTGGGAGGCCGAGGAGGGCAGATTGCCTGAGGTCAGGAGTTCAAGACCAGCCTGACCAACATGGTGAAACCCCATCTCTACAAAAATTAGCCGGGCATGATGTCAGGTGCCTGTAATCCCAGCTACTGGGGAGGCTGAGGGAGGAGAATCACGTGAACTGGAGGCAACTGAGCGAGACTCCGTCCATCTCCAAAAAAAAATTAAAATTAAAAAATTAAAAAATAAGATCATTTGTTCTGTTGTCCAACAGCCCCTTTGTTGAAATGCTTCTTCCATGAGGAAATCCTCTTGAAACCACACAAAAAAACTCTTTCTCCTGATACACTGAGTCATGAAGCTGAACAATTCTGCCTTTTTAATTATTTTTATTTTTATTTTATTTATTTATTTATTTTTTTTTTTTGAGACGGAGTTTCACTCATGTTACCCAGGCTGGAGTGCAATGGCGCGATCTCGGCTCACCGCAACCTCCGCCTCCTGGGTTCAGGCAATTCTCCTGCCTCAGCCTCCTGAGTAGCTGCGATTACAGGCACGCACCACCATGCCCAGCTAATTTTTTGTATTTTTAGTAGAGACGGGGTTTCACCATGTTGACCAGGATGGTCTCGATCTCTTGACCTCGTGATCCACCTGCCTCGGCCTCCCAAAGTGCTGGGATTACAGGCTTGAGCCACCGCGCCCAGCCCTTATTTTTATTTTTTATTTGTTTTGAGATAGGATCTCACTCCAGTTGCCCAGGCTGGAGTGCAGTGGTGCAATCTCAGATCACTGCAGCCTCCACCTCCAGGGCTCAAGTGATCCTCCCACCTCAGCCTTCTGAGTAGCTGAGACTACAGGTATGCATCACCACACCCAGCTAATTTTTGTATTTTTAGTAAAATACAAACATTTTGTATTCTTTGCATGTTGCCCAGGCTGGTCTCGAACTCCTGACCTCAAATGATCCACCTGCCTCAGCCTGCCAAAGTGTTGGAATTACAGGTGTGAGCCACTGCACCCAGCCCTTTTTTATTGTTTGCTCAAAGATTTTTAAATAACTGTTCATCAGATTCTTGACAGGAATTTTGTTTTGTTTTGTTTTTGAGACAGGTTCTCCCTATGCCGCCCAGGCTGAAGTGCAGTAGTGCAATCATAGCTCACTGCAGCCTCGACCGCCTAGACTTAAGTTGATGCTCCCAGAGTGCTGGAATTACAGGCATGAGCCACTGCACTCAGCTTCATTCTTGCTTTTCATGTTAGACCTTGTGGCAGATCCTACACTAACCAGACCTGTTTCCTGTATCCTCAGTACCTGCCTGCCGCCTACTTGCCATTCTAATATACATTTGTTGAGTAAACAAATGAGAGTTCATTGATTTTGATATTGTAGTTCATCAGCTTTTCTGGCAAACACCTTACATCCTCACCTGAAATAAACAAGCTATAAATAAAATCAATAACTGGGACAGGCAAGCTGGCTCATGTCTGTAATCCCAGCACTCAGGAAGGCTGAGGTGGGCGGATCCCTTGAGATCAGGAGTTAGAGACCAGCCTGGCCAACACTGTGAAACACCATCACTACTAAAAAAAGTAGCTGGGCGTGGCAGCGCACACTCATGATCCCAGCTACTTGAAAGGCTGAGGCAGGAGGATTGCTGGAAACCAGGAGGCAGAAGTTGCAGTGAGCCGAGATTGTGCCACTGCACTCCAGCCTGGACGACACAGAGACACTGCTCAAAAATAAATAAATAAATAACAAATTTTATAAATAAATAAATAAATAAATAAATAATTGATTTTTTTTAATTAAAAGAATAAAATCGATAACTGGCCAGTTTTCAGCAGAGGGCCTAGAATTCTCCATGACCTCATGGTGAATTGAAGGGCAGCCTTCTTGACATATTGGCCAGGTCGACGTATGGTTCTAATCTCACTGGACCCTCCCTGCAACCCATATACCTAAGGTGCAGTGCAACATGCCATCTAGCTTTATTTATTTATTTATTTTTGAGACGGAGTCTTCCTTTGTCGCCCAGGCTGGAGTGCAGTGGCACGATCTCAGCTCACTCCAACCTCTGCCTCCTGGGTTCAAGCCATCCTCCTGTCTCAGCCTCCCAAGTAGCTGGGATTACAGACACACGCCACCACACCTGGTTAATTTTTGTATTTTTAGTAGAGACGGGTTTTGACCATGTTGGCCAGGCTGGTCTCAAACTCCTGACCTCAAGTGATCCACCCACCTCGGCTCCCCAAAGTGCTGAAATTACAGGTGTGAGCCTTCGCTCCCGTCGCCATCCGGTTTTATAAATGAGAAACCTACCGCTCTGGAAGGTTACCTCTGAGTCACACAGCTGGCTGGTGGTAAAGCCACAACTGACTGTCTAACTGCAACTCTAGTCCCACAGAGTTGAAACCTTGTCACATGTACAAAGGCTGCCACAGCCAAGGGGACATGCACCTGAATGCTCTGTGTGTCCCTGGACGATCAGACACCAGCCTTCCCTTGAGCAGAGCTGGCCTGGAAAACACCACCCTCTTCATTTTGAGTGCAGGGGCTCAGGCCAGCCCTGAGTCAGAAACTGTGTTTCCCTAAGGAGCTGCCCTGACGTCCACTTGCATTTCAGGTCACTCTGGACAGAAGAAAGTACCTTGCCTAGAACAACCTCCAGTGATTTGGGGGTTTTGCCTGGGGTCCCCAGCAACATAGGGTCCTTTTACAGCCCGAGTTTCTCTATCTGCAAAATAGACCTAATTTTTCTTTTTTTCTTTTCTTTTTTTTTTTTGAGACAG